GGTTCTTAACTTTTTGCATGTTATTGGGAAAAAGGCCGAGCGCTTTTATCGAATCAACTTTTGCAGTTCTTAATAATCATTAATTCATTTTCCAGGCTCTGGTATTAGTGTTCAGGTCTATGTAAGTTTATAGTCCGATAATCAATGAAATTTAATTCTGAAAAATTGACATTTATGAGCAATTAATTACCTCCTCCAACTTGAGCTAACAACCGAAAACATTAAAAAAAACAAATATTTTCAAATTTTTTGGTTGGATTTTTACAATTCAACATTATTTTTTGAAAAGTTGAATATGGCTTGAGAAATGTCTAATGGAAATTGCAAATTCCAATAAGTTCTGCAGCAATAAATTGTGGGAAAAAAGTAATAATTGGAATAATCACATTCGAACTCAAGGATAGTTTTATTCCAACTATTTTATTGAAATATCTGATGAAGTACAAAAATAAAAATAAATCGAATACGACACTAGTAAATTTTTTAAGATTTTATGAGAGTTTTAATGGGTAAACTAGTCCAAAATTTACACAATGTGCATATTATAATTATACCTATCATGCATGTAGTCATTGTATTTTCATCCCAACTTTCAAATTACTATCCAATAAATGGTTCTTGTGTTGTAAGCCCTATAAATCATCTTTTAATATTCATACATAAAAATTAAGTACTATTAGGCAAAAATATTGTCAGCTTGTTAGTTCAAATGAAATAAATTGCCCTGATTAATGAAATTCCATCAAGCNTAGCTAAACTGACAACTCTGAAACAATCATTCAATTTACTGATTTTCCACTATGAAAGATATGAATTAACCCATTATTTATTTACCCTCATTTGTTTTTATTTTATTTTATGTGTTACAGAGAGATAATGCATGCAATGTGGAAGCCACAAAAATTCAAGTCCATTTACTTGTTAGCCACAGCTTATGTGCTGACACTAACCCTTCCATCAGCGGCCGCTGTTTATTGGGCTTTTGGTGATTTGCTTCTCAACCATTCTAATGCTTTTGCTCTACTCCCAAGATCACCTTTCAGGGACATGGCCGTCATTTTAATGCTCATTCACCAGGCATGATTAATTAACCATTAAATTAACTTAATCAAAATCACATTGCTAATAAATTAATTGATTTTGCTTAATGAGTCGTTTCGGAGAATTCGACCCCACTGTGTGTTGATCGGACAGTTTTGAACTTGGTCTGGTCACTGTGGGCTACTGAGTTATTTTTTCCAATAATTTATTGGGATTCAAAATTGGGTGATAACTTTTCAATTTTATTCAATTTGGTCTAATTGCAACCTCAAACGCCGGAATTCAACAATTATTTCGTTTTAAATTGGTTCAGTAACTCTTAAATTTTAACAAATTTGGTCTAAATAACTAAAATAATTTAAGAGTTATTAGACCAAATTTGCTAAAATTTAATATATATTGGACCAATTTTAAATCTTAATAAGCATAACGTTGACTTGACTTGATTGAAAAATATATATATATTTGTGTATGTGGATTACGAATAACCAAGGATAGAATTGCAAAAAACTAAGTATAAATTGTAGAACATGACTAGTGTTTTGCATATAGTTTCTTTGAGAAAAATGTGAACATATGTCATGTACAATAAAGGGGTTGCTGAAATTGATTGAGTTTTTGTTTCTTTTTTGTACTAAAATGGTCGAACTTCGTATGTTGTTTGCAGTTTATAACGTTTGGATTCGCATGCACGCCTTTGTATTTCGTGTGGGAAAAGGCCATCGGCATGCACGAGTGTAGGAGCTTGTGCAAACGGGCGGCCGCCAGACTGCCGGTGGTGGTCCCAATATGGTTCTTAGCCATAGTGTTTCCATTCTTTGGCCCTATAAACTCGACCGTCGGATCGCTTTTAGTGAGCGTCACGGTCTACATTATCCCGGCATTGGCTCATATCTTCACCTTCCGATCTGCCGTGGCTCGTGAGGTACCATGATCATATTATCTTTTAATTATACATATATTCTCAACACTATAATTAAAATACAAAAATATGATCAAATTTAATAAACTTGGCTATATATGATTTGTGTTAGAATATCACTTGTGAGTTGTCCCACATCGTTTATACATGGAAAATAGACCAAACTTGTAAGTCTACTGAACTACTTCTCCTTTCACCAATTAGTTTTTGGATGAAAATTCACTTGTGCTTCATATGGGCTTTCCTGGTGTGCTTCACGTGCGATGACGCACCCATTTTATCCCGTTTCTTACAACCTATAAACTTGGCATAGCTAACATTGCCATTACGTACAAGTGAAAAAGAGTCGAGCAGACTTCGAGCCATTTGGTACTTGAATTTCGGCTCGTGAACGAAAAAAAAAAAAAAGTTGGATTTCGTTTCGTCATCAATATTAGTGAGTTGAGCAAAGGTAAAAATATAAGAAATTACGTAAGAATTTCTATTCTCGAAGCTCATTAAATAAATAAGGTAAACAAGTAAGCTGAGTCGAGCCTCACGAGCTGAGCTAAGCCAAACTCATGTATGACTCAATTTGTTTGACAACTCATCATATCACATCAATATACATATATCAAATGATTCAAATTGTAAACCACAAAACAGTGAAGATCACGTAAAATGGAAGGTGAGGCAGGCATGGTCAAAACCAGAATACTGGCACTGTCAGGCCCAGATTAATAGATAGTTTGACCAAAAATAATCTGGTTAAGCCGAAGTAAAATAAAAATTATTAAAAAAAAACCAACTTATTTAAAATTATGTCTCTCTCTCTTTTACGTACGTTGCATCACAGTCATAGATCACAGGTTTCGCGTGAGTGTGAATATGGTTAAAAAACTTGCAGTAAAAAAGATTCCCAATGCTGCCAATGACAAGAAAAAGAATTGCTTTATGAGATTCTCTGAAAAAATGACCTCTCAAATCTCAATTGCATTTTCTGAAATATCTAGTGTTGTATCAATTAAATTTGGACTATAATATTAAAGGAATAAAATGTGTCCATAATTTTATTTATTTTTCCTATATAACTTTTTTCTTATTTGATTTTTAACTGCAGAATGCAATTGAGCAGCCTTCAAAGTACTTTGGCAAATGGGTGGGCACATATGTGATCAACATTTTTGTGGTTGTGTGGGTTTTAATTGTTGGGTTCGGGTTCGGTGGTTGGGCCAGCATGATCAATTTCATCCACCAAATTGACACATTTGGGCTTTTCACTAAATGCTACCAGTGCCCGGCCCAGGCCCAACTGCCGCCACACTTGGCCAATGCCACCGCGCCTTTTCCACCTCCCAAGGCCAACGCTTATCCTTTGCCGCTAAGTCCTCACGCCATTTGAGCTATTTTCGTCCAAAATCACTCAATTGGTTTTGTTTTGCGGCTAGTCCGAAAAAAGCTTAATGAGCAGAAAAAATGGCATGTCTTCACAAAATTAGAGTTTTGTGCTTTTATGTGTGAACAAAGATATTATTTAGCTGAAGAGTTTTTTGATATGTTTAGTGACCATTTTCAAGAATGGATTCTTGATGCAGTTAATATGGTTTCTAGTTCAAATTATTTTAGTGCTAATTGTTTTACAGTTTTGTTGAAACATAAATTTAATTAGTAAGGCATAATGGTTAAACAGATAAAAAATTTCAACAAATATTGAATATACATTTGCAAAGTTTACCTATCGTCCTATATGTTTCAATAATTGACATAAAAACATTTCAATCAATTGGAAAATAAGATATTGTGCCTTCACAATTTCCAAACGTTTAACATTCAACGGTCAACATGTTACATAAATGGGACTCAAGTACAACAAATTCATGAAATAAAAATGCATTGATAAATAGGAGTGAAAGTACAAACAGTTTCCCACACTGCAAATTCAGTTTCAAAATAAGATAAAACGACAATTCATTTTTGTTGGTACTACAGTACTATACATGTTAGTGTGACAGTAACACAAATTCAATTTTCTCCTAAATACTTTATATCACCAAGATAAAATTTAACAAAATTAAAATAACTCGAAAAAGATAAAAATAACCAATATCATTATAATAATAATGATTTAAAAGATAAATCCGATTACATGTAGCCATGGCCATGGATGGATAACATCAAACTCCAACACCAACATATTTTGATTCATAAGAAAGTCAGAAAAAAAAGAAACATAAACAAACACAAACTAGACGAATAATAGAGGACGATGAGCTATAGATGCAGACATCGGTTTACGTTGGGTTGGGACACTCACGAGCCAAATGCTCAACGGTCTGGGTTGGGACACTCACGAGCAAAATGGCCGTCCTCCCCACACTTGTAGCAACCGCCACCTCCTCCTCCGCCGCCGCCGTAGCGTCCGCCACCGCCGCCTCCTCCCTGAGAGCATTCCCTCGCCATGTGCCCACTCTCACCGCACTTGTAGCAGGCACCCCCGCCACCTCCACCGCCGCCATANCGTAACCGCCGCCACCTCCGCCTCCGCCGTAGGCTCCACCACCTCCGCCGTAGCCGCGGCTGCCACCCCTGCTTCCACTGTCGTAACCTCCCCCTCCGCCGCCGCTCCTCCCGCCTCCGCCTCCACCGCCGCGGGTGCTCCCCTGGACAGACGATCCACCGGGACCAGTCACGTTCGCGGCCTTTGGACGGCCATCGCTGCCTTGATCGAGCACGTACTCGACCTCTTCGCCGTCGCCGAGGCTGCGGAAGCCGTCGGTCTTGATGGCCGACTGGTGGACGAACAGATCCTCGCTGCCGTCGTCGGGAGTTATGAAGCCGAACCCCTTCTGATCGTTGAACCACTTCACCGTCCCCTTTTTCACGTCGCCGTCGGCCATCGCTTCAAAAACCCTAGTTTTCTCTCTCTAAAACTACCCTCACTCTCTCACTCACAGTGTGTTGCTTGTGTTGTGTGAGGACTGAGGTAACCGCGTGGATATATAAATACGAGTTGGAGGATGCCCCGTAAGCGGATTTTATCTCGTGAATCAATTGCGGGATAATTGTTTAGTGGGGTCCGTGATTTTTGTTCACACTTTTTGTTTTGGGGGTACCAAAGCGTCGCTGGCCGTTGGATTACGGGCAGGTGGGTAGATGGATAGTTAATTTTTATCCACCCAAAATGTATTTATTTGTTTAGCTGTAAAAAAGATGTGTCAGAGTAAATTTGAGAAGTTTTCCAATATGGCACGATCACACACTAAAGTGGGAAAGGAAATATTTTGTCAAATTTCAAATGGTGTTTTAATTTGGAACTCGCTCGTGATTTTCCTCATTTTTTCTTACAAATAATATTATTTCATTTTTACTTAACATAAAAATAATATATATTTTATTCTATTTGGGTAGAAAAATTACTAATTGTTTACATTTTTAGTGGAGTAATGATGATATTATATGAATACTATGAAGAAATTTGATGTTTAAATTAATAATTACAAATGTGAATGCCTTCAATCAATTGGTTTTGTAAAATATAAATAGAGGAAAATTGAATTATGTAGTAGGCTTGATTTATTATACAATTCAATAACTTAGAGTAAATAAAAAGATTAAGTATTTAGTTCAAATAGTAAGTAAATTTCATCTAATTTTTTCATTCATACTTAAACTGGACCTTTTAAAGTAATTGAATTTCAAACTTTTGGATATTATATGAAGATCTAATTTTTGGTTTATAATTTGCATTATAATAATTTCCTTTCGTATCTATCTCAACAATATGGGAACTTTGCCTTTTGTTTGCATGATAAATGTTATTCTTTCCAAAGAATGGGTTAAATTGGTATATATCTCAATAATTATGGAAACTTATTTTCTAATTCAAAAGGTATGGGGAATCTTTTTTAATTGCGAAATATCAGAATTCCCAAACATAATAAAAAATATTTTGCCTAAAAATCTAGCAGAATATATAACAATGATGTATATTTATTTTGTTTCCTTAATTTTGCATTTCATACAACGGTAATTCACATTAAATAAATTATATACGGATTAATATTTATATTGTTTAACTGAGTGACATTCATACATTGAATATAGTCTTTAACTAAATTAAAATTATACACAATTAGATAAAAAAGTTACACACACATATATCTTGTTTCGCATGTTAACCTCTACTATCAAATTTAAAAGTTAACTTAATTGGTCCGGAACTTTTTATGGCTTGCTAGCAAAGAACGCTTACTTACCAATGTAGAGAGAGTTCGAAGACATTTTTTCAACTCGGAGAATTGTGATTTCTGTGGATGTAGTGACACTGTGCTTCATGTGCTGCGTGATTGTCCCTTCGTCAAAGAGCGACTACTCCCGACGGTACATGTCGCCGGCTTCTTTGAGCAGCCCCTAAGGACGTGGTTCACCAGAAATCTCACCAAGTTATGGTTGGAACTAGGGGCGAAACTAGAAAATTAGTTGAGAGGGGCAAAAGATAGACATAATGAATTCAGAATCGAACCTAATGGGTTTAGAACCGATAACATTTTGGTAACCAAAAATCGGTTACCGTTACACATAAGTCGGTTCGGTTCGGTTTATATTCTCATCAGTTCGGTTCAATTTTTGATTTTTGGTCAAAAAATACCAGTTCTAGCCTGAGTAATAAAAGAGAGTTGAAGTCTTTTATATGAGCCAATTAAAATTATAGAATGATAATAATTAATATACAAAATTAATAGTAAAATAAAAGAAGTGTTGAATTGTTAATTGACAATTGTGTACAAGTTGGCTGGTGAGTGACGTTTAAAAACAAAAAATCTGGGGGTGCAAAAATAAATTTAAAGGGGATTTTTAATATTAATAAAAAAAAAATTAAAATTTGAGGGGTGGCAATTGCCCCCCTATCACTTAATGTAAATTCGCCCATGGTTGGGACTCTACGCGAACTGGAACAGCCTTTTTTCGATCGTGGCCTGGCGAGCTTGGGCATTGAGGAATGACCGCATCTTCAATGGCCGCACCCTGGGCTGCGAGGCGAGGCGAGTAGAGGTGTTGACCAGTCTGGAAACCTACACGCATGCAGTCACGACTTTCGCTAAGGCAGGGGCAGATATGAATTTGTTCGAGTCACGATTAATTTATTGGTCCGCGTTAGATCCGAGGTGGATCAAAGTAAATACCGATGGCGCTTTTGACAAGTCTTCTGGGCTAAGTAGTGCTGGTGGGATTATTCGAGATGAGATGGCTAGATGATTACGGGCTTTCTTATGAATATAGGTTATTGCAACATAATTGGGATCGAATTGTGGGGTCTTTTTCAAGGACTACAACTTGCATGGACTAAGGAGTTTCGTAGAGTTATTGTGGAGGCGATAGCCAGGCTGTACTACAGATGATAATGGTTACAGAAGTAATTTTGGGGTGCACGAAGCCTTAGTCAAGGCTATTCGTCAATTGATTCAAAGGGAGTGGCATATTAGCATTCGACACGTGCATAGTATGAATTTATTATTTTTTATGTATTTACATGATATTTTTAATTTATTAAAAATATAGAATAATTTTTTTAAACAAATTTTAAATTAATCAAACATATTTAAATTTTAAATATTGATGACCTAAATTTAACGAACTCAGACTTTGACGAACAATTAAACAAATGAGTTCGAACACGATCTTTTGCTCGAAAAATAAAAAAAACGAGCACGAACATTATTCGAACATGAACTCGATAAACTCAAAATCAGCTTGTTCGAATTGACTCACAAGTCACCACCCAGTTTCAGGTTTGGATATGCGTATTTGGTATTATATAGAACGTTTTGGTTTGGTATAAGGAAAAACGTTTGGACAAAACGCGACTACTGTAGAAGCTATTAAAGACGTGAGGTTTCAAAATTGACGGCGTTCTAGGGTTTAGAACGGCGGCGATGGCTGGCAAGAGGAAAAGGAAAAACGCAAATCGGCGGCCGGGAATCCACCCGCGAAACAAATACGCAGACAACACGCCAGATTTCGGTTTGTTGGCGTCATCGTACCCGAGCTTCGAGCCGTATGTCTTCTACTCGCACGACGGTCGGCCCAAAATTGATTGGACGGACTTCAATGCTACTCGCGAGCTGACGCGGGTCTTGCTGCTCCATGATCATGGCATCAACTGGTATTCGTTTTGTAAAATGTTTGTGATTATTTTTGTGGGGGAGAGTTTGTTTGCTGCGTTTAAGATTACTCTGTTCATTGCTCGCTATTTACTTTTGGTTTTCTGCTGTCCCCTTTGTGTGGGTTCACTTGTTGATTGCCTCTAAGATAGACTTCCCCTTGAACGGTTTTGTACATTTTTGTCAAACTGTGAGCTGAATTTTGCGTGTTATGTAGCTTAATAAATTTTCATTGAAGTTAAATTTGCTTATAACATGGGTCTGCAAATGTGCTTAAACAGGGGCATTTTGTTAGATTTTGCTATGCTTTGATATTGCTAAATGTGATTTAATTTTGAATTTCGACAATTTAGGTGGATTCCAGATGGGCAGCTGTGTCCTACAGTGCCCAATAGATCAAACTACATTCATTGGATAGAAGATCTTTTGGCTTCGGATATCATCGCTGTCAGCAGAAGTGATGATGATGTCATAAAAGGCTTCGATATCGGGACTGGAGCAAACTGCATTTATCCGCTTCTTGGCGCTTCGGTTCTTGGCTGGAAATTTGTTGGTTCTGGTGCTTATTCTTTCTCTTTTTTTTTTTTTTTTTTTTTTTTTTTTGTTAAATATGAAATTGGNTTCTGTTAAATGATAAGCATGTTGTTTACTGTTATTTTTTCTTTTTGTTAGATATTACTGATGTAGCTGTTGAGTGGGCTAATCGAAATGTCGAAAGCAATCCTCACATATCCGATTTGATCGAAATTAGAAGAGTTGGCACTGAGGATATAACTTCTCAAGTGGAAGAACTGCAAAATGGTGGAAGTTTTATTTCGGGCTTGAGGAGTTATAATGGGCCACCAGTGCTTTTAGGTGTTGTGAAAGATGGCGAAATTTTTGACTTCTGTATGTGTAATCCTCCTTTCTTCGAGACTATGGAAGAGGCTGGTTTGAATCCAAAGACTTCTTGTGGAGGGACTCCAGAGGAAATGGTTTGTTTTGGTGGAGAACTTGCTTTTATCACTCGCATAATTGAAGATAGCGTTAAGCTAAAGAACACATTTAGGTATAACTATAATGGCAATTTCATCTTATGAGGTGATTTTCTATTATAGCATTGATTTTTTATTTTTTTATTTTTTTAATTTTACCTCTGTTTGTATTTATGCAGATGGTATACTTCTATGGTTGGTAGAAAATACAACCTAAGTATTCTAGTGTCCGAACTCTGGAATGTGGGAGCCACAGTTGTGAAGACTACCGAATTTGTCCAAGGCCGGACATCGAGATGGGGGCTTGCATGGTCTTTTTTGTCCGTTGCAAGGAAGATTACACTTACACCATCCAATAATAAGATTGATAGGAATAATCTTTCTTTCATGCTTGAGGTTCAAGATCTTATCTCATGTTTGTGATTTTCTTTTGGGTGCAAAATTTTCATTTTGGTTGTGTTTGGTAAGTATATAAGCTAGCTTATAGCATATTTGATTAGTTTATAGGCTTCCTGTATTCAAATAAGCTTGTTTGGTAGAACGAACTTTTTTAAAAAGCTCGAGCTTATCTCATAAACTTTCTTTAATAGTTTTTCAAGTAAGCCAATTGAAATTTTTATTTCAGCTAGCTTATCAACTAATTTACCAAACACTTTTCATATAAACTAAACTAGCTTTTGAGACATAAGTCATAAGATATCATCTATAAGCTCGAAATTCACTTCAAAGTTATAAGCTAGCTTATTTTACCAGACATAGCATTAATCATTTTTCACCTGACATAGAAAAGAAGTGAAGATATCCATTACTTTTGCTAAGACGTGATTTCAAAAGTTATAAGTCGTGTTTTATTGAATTCTATTTATGACAGTATATGCAGCGGTTCTTGTCATATTTTCTTCATTTTGTATTTGCCTAAAGTTATTCAGGCTTAAATCTGATATTCTATTGTACATATGATTTAGGGCCTTCAACGACATCACAGCGCCTTCCACGTGTTGCAATCAGTCGAATCCCACTTTGCCAGTGGTGGTATCCTCTGTAAATTGGATGCTGCTTCTTTCAATGTTGATGTATGCTCATCTCATTTTTTATTTTTTTTTTCTTTTTCTTTATTTTGTGTAATTTGTGTCGTTTGATGGCTAACATGTACTTTCTCATTAAAAAGGTCACTGCCACAAAAGAACAGATTGATGCAGTTTTGAAGAGTGAGACATGTGATAGTAGCAGATTTGCTGTTTACCAACACGAGACAAATGAGTCGAGTTGTTCGAGTGATTTCAGGGGCAAACCTGATGCCATCTGCTTTCGGATTTCTGTAATTCCAAATTCCCCTAATATTTTTTGGTGTTGTACTCTCCGATTATTTGGTATTTCTACAACATTTCTTATATAATATTTCATATATAATTATTAGGTCTTTCAGCAAAATCCTGGGGCACTATTGGTGAGAGGAACATTGCACGAGAAAACAAGCTCAATCCCAGGTGATTTTTAACATGTTTTTCTAGAAAAGATATACCACCATCACATCAGTCTCGTTAGTGAATTCAGTGACTTTTTATCAAAGATAATACACACCGAGTTTGTTGTTATTAATCTTTGTGCTTTGCATGTGAATATGCAACTAACTAGTTTATCCACTCTAATTCCATTACTGGTGTGGATTTTCCGCAGGGTTGTTTCAGTTAATTTTCCAGCATCTTGAGGAATTTCTGACCCGTACATTCCGTACTAGGAAAACTAGATAATAGTTAACTGGATTCAGTTAATTTTTTGGTTTAATGACTATATAGTTGATATAGATTGTGAATTTGTAGAGGAATGCGTCAAGGTGAAAGTAACTGCACTACTTCGGTTTATTACGTTATGTACTATTTGCCATTTTTTAATTTGTAACTGTCCGTCAGTTTCTTTGTGAATGCTGGAAAAAATGAAGTTGCCCTTTACCATCTTTTGAAAATAAATGGTATTAATAACTTTAAAACCGAGATTCGTCACGTATTATTATCATCCTTTACTGCAATTCATTTGTGTCGTTACAGTAGTTCATTTCATTTGTCTTGATGTGTATCATCTATTGAGTTGTACAGTTCAGTTTTTATAACTAAATAATGACACTTTGTCGCTATTAACTCCACATGACAATGATTTATCTTGAACGAGATTTTATAGGAATAGAATTGTAAGCAGAACAGCTTTTATNAGAAGATAAACTAGACAAGCTGGACTGACATACAAAAACATAAAGAAGAAGAAAAAAAAAACGCGCATCTAATGTACAAATAAACTAGGACCTCTCCTACACGGTTACACCTAACAGACTCAAGGCCCAGCCACCTGGGACCACACACGATCCACATCCACTAGCAAAGAGATCCAACGAAATAACAAATCGGAACCTCAAGCTCGAAAATTGCGGCCACTCGTGCCGCCTAGACTCTGAAGAAGAGTCTGCGCTCAGTTCAGATTTGGATTCCGAAAAACCATCCACCCGGGAGAGGAGAGGGAGTAAAGTCAAAAGTTTCTTTCTTATTAAAATTCTATCTATTAATTACTATTATTGATATTGTTTACTATGACCTAAACTTTATATGACGGGGTACCTAAAAGGAGGTGTAAACGAGCTTGGATCTTTAAAGGCTCGAGTTTCACGCATTTATCAATTTTAATGAGTTGACCTATAGAAAATTAGATAAAATCCTCTAGATTCAATTTTTAATGAGTCGGGTTGGGCTTGAGCTCGTTAAGTAGCTCAGGTAATTAACTAAACGAGTTAGAACTGAGTCAAGCCGAGCTTAAGAGTTTCGCTTTGTTTAACTGATTAACTAACGATTGGTAAAATATAAAATAAAAAAAAAAATAAAAGCAATGAACAAAAATGGAAAAAATTTATTCCAAATGTATCATCTCTTTCCACAAATTATACACACAGATAAATCATAAATCCACCGACATCAACCCTAAACATAGAACAAATGACTCGCAATTTATAATTTGCATCAATCCTATATACAGAACAAATGACTCACAATTTATAATTTATTTTACACATACGGATAATTCACCGGAACCCGATCAAGAACCCGACCCGCCACCGATTTTATCCACCGACACAACACGTGTAAACAAAACAAACAACAGGAAAATAACCCGCGAACATTCCCACCACAAACCTCCATTAACAATCGATCAAGCTTTTCCCTCAACCCTAGCGCTCGTCAGCCCGACGCAAGCATCCACAAAATCCTCATCAATAAAATCCGTCGAGAATATCTGCAGCCGGTCGGCAATCCCCCTCGCAAAGCACTGCGCGATGAACATCCTCGCGTAGGGTTGGATCCGACCCGTCACGGGCCTCACGCACAGAACCGGGTTATCCGCCTGAGGAGTCACCGTGTTCTCGACCCGATAGAAGTGCCTCCGACCCGCTGCCGGCTGCTGCTCGCCGAGGTGCTTCAAATTGCTCTCGAATTTTGTCGACGGCAGATCCGTGTCTATCCAGTTGTCCTTCAAATGGCCCGAACCCCATAGCGGGCTGCCGGGCTTGGGCTGGGCGGCCTTCCTCGGCTTCCAGACGCAGATGACCCGTTTCGGAAGCAGATCTGAGACCGTTTTGTTGAAAACCTGGTCGTCCTGGTGGATCAGGAACTCGCCGAGTTGGTCCTCGAGGTACTTGTCGAAATCGGGCGGGTCGTCGTGCCCGAACTCGGTCCGGATCTCGAGGATCACGATCTCCGATTGGGTTTCGCCGAGGAATCGCTTGACGTCTTCGATTACGACATCGACGCCGTAGCTGAGGAGGATGCCGTGGCAGACCCGGCGGTCCTCCTGGACCCGGATGTCGAGGACCCGGGCGCCCGTTTTCAGCTGGTCGTAGATGGAGAGGGACTGGCACTGGGCGAAGGGGCGGGTCACGAGGGGGATGCCGATTTTGTTGGTGGCCGAGTCGTGGGTGCCGGGCCAGACGATCTGGTTGACCCGGAGCTTTTCCGGGCCGAGGCCCAACATCCAGTTTTTGCGGTCGGGCGGGCGGTAGTCGGATCCCGGGTAATCGGATCCTGCGGTCTGTTTGAGGTCGATAAGGGTTTTTTTCTCGGTGGAGATGGCTTTCCTGCGCTCGACCTGTTTGGAAACGTGAGCGCCCATTGCTAGATGAAGAAGTAAGAAGAAGAAAAAGGGAGGTATTTAAAGTTTTTGGGTTTTTGACAGTTTCTTTTTCCCCTTTCTTTTTTCTTCTTCTCCGTGTACGGGTTTTATTTGATGAGTGTGTATATAGATTTTGAAGGGGTTAAAGGATAAATTGAATAATTGGATATGTAGTTTTTAGCTTGAGATGCATATGATATGATTGTCAATGGTGAACTAGACGCTCTTGCGGTGGTTGGTGGTGGTGGTGGGCCGGGGTTTTGGTTGCATGATTGGCGCGATTTTTTTTTGTTTAACTTGTCTTTTTATTATATTTTGTTTTTGAGTGATCTCACTTGTCTTTTGGGCTATGGACATATGGCCCACTTGTGAAGCTATTCAATGCCATGTGTTAGGCTGGATTTTTGGATTTCTTTGATTGGTTGATTGTTACGTGGAAATATCACAGACTTCCGATTTTCGTTTAGGTGGTCCTTTTTATGTATTTGTACAATTTGTTACGTCTAGATTTCCTGCTGATGAGAGCTCGATCTCCAAAGAGTGGTTAAAGGTATATATAACAATTAAAATTTTAAAAAAATAATCAATTTAAAATTAATATAATAGTTATAAATGTATTAAATTTTGTAATTAGCTGTATTAATTTAGTATGCACTGTATGCAATTATTATATTTTTATTAAGCAAAAGTCATCTACCCGCTGGAAAGTATTACTCAAGGGTAGAATTGTTAAATTAAATGAACTGTTCATGAACTCAGCTCGACTCGGCTCGTTTAAAGCTTGTTCAGTTAACGAGCCGAGCTCGGCTTGGGTCGATAAGGCTCGAAAAGATGATTTTTAAGTATTTTTTTGTAGTTCGGCTTGATTTTGACTTATTAAGACTCTAACTTGACTTGTTAATATTAATAAACGAGCCCAATTCGAGCTCGATTATAAGCTCGTTAAGTTAACGAGCCGAGCTTGAGCTCGAGCTCGAGCAGCATGAACTCGAGCTCGGCTCGGCTCGTTTACGCCCTTATTTAAGGGGATTCAAATGTCTGGATGATTCAACTCTACTGGCTACGTGGAGCAGGTTTTAAACTGTTGGATCACACACATTCATACACACGCCTGTGAGTGTTTATTGATCTGATAGTTATGACAGTTACAAACCGCGTTAAAACCGAACGAGGGCTGGGGTAAAATTCACCCAAATGTTGCCATTCTCTGTGTGTTGGGCTCTGAGTAAAAACATACAATGAATAGAATCCAAGTACATAAAGAGTACACAAATCCAAAAAAAATTCACTAGAAAGTAGAAACCTAAAAACAAGAAAACAAAAAAGCGAAAACCCGAGAATGGAAAGGCCTTTCGTGTAAACTTCCACACAAAACAATCCGAAGTCGACACACATTTCGCCTCATATACTCTTTTAAACCGGCTAAGAGAAAAAGAAAACCCACGAAATTTCTACCTTCCAACACCATCTAACAATCCCTCATCAGATAACAATTCCAAAATGGCGTTTGTCTCCTTTTGAGGATGATCCAATGTATGAGCTTCACAACCTAATCGAACAGTTCTATCTATTTCTAGCCAACTAACGAACACTTGTTTCTTCAAATATCGCAAGTTCGCAAGCCGTTTAACCTCTTGAGCAAATTCACTCCTCCCGATTGCAGTATAAATACCCGAAAGCAAAAGATACACTACAGGAGAATCGGGCTCAAGCCCAACAAGATGTTTAGCCATTGTTCTACCCAACTCCATATTCCTCTCATGAATTTTACAAATAGTGAGTAAAGCATTCCAAACTCGATCATCTGGATAAAAAGGCATTACCTTTAGCCGATTCATCAGCTCATCGAAATATCCAGCCCAGCCCAACAAACTGATCAAGGAAGTGTAGTGCTCCTGACCAGGGGCAATATGGTAATCCGACTTCATAGACTCAAACAAACGAAGCCCTTCTTGCACGAGCCCCGAATGGCCACAGGCGTTAAGAAGTACAAGAAAAGTGAAACTCTCCGGTTTAACACCCAAACTCAGCATATCCGAATAAATTCCTATTGCTTCTTTGCTTCGCCCGTGATTTGCTAATGAGGATATCATCGTGTTCCACAACACGGCATGCTGATTATTATTATTATTATCTTGTATTCTATTGAATACCCTTTTCGCCATATCTAAATCTCCGCATTTGCTATACATGTCGATCAAGGAACTTAAAACGACTACATTAGGCCTTATGCTGGAAGTTATCAAACGCGAGTGAAATTGTTTACCGTGATTGAGTGAAACCATGCTGGCACAGGCGAATAAGCAACTACTGTAAGCAAACTGATCGGGTTCCAATCGAAGATCGATCATTTTCTTGAATAACTCGAGCGAACGATATCCCGACCTGTTACGGGCATACCCGGCAATTAAAGCAGACCAAGAATTTGAATTTTTCTCGGGCATCGAGTCGAATATTTCCCGAGCAGAACCCATATCCCCGGATAAAGCATAGCCCGAAACTAAAGTTGTCCAAGCAACAATATCCCTTTCAGTCATCTCATCGAACAATCTTCTCGCAAAACCCAATTCTCCACATTTTGCATACGCATCAACTAAAGAACTCGAGAGGACTAAACTCGATAAAAATCCGATAACAAGAACCTGACAGTGCAATTGCTTGCCAAGCCTTAGATCCCTCGACTTGACACACGCATTCAGAGCCCCAGCAAGACTGTACTCGTTATACCCAATGGCTGACCTTCTCAGCTCCACATAACACATCAAGGCCCTGTTAAACCACCCACACTGCAAATGCGCTACAGCCATCGTGTTCCAGCTAACGAAATCTCTCTCCGGCATTTTATCGAACAGCCTCTTTGCGGCTCGAGTCATACCCAGATTCGCGTAACCGGAGAGCATGTTGTTCCAGGAGTACAGATTTCGGTCGCGCATTTTGTCGAACACCTGGCGGGCAGTCTCGTGGTCGCCGCAGCTCGCGTACATGTTGATCAGGTGGTTTGAAAGAAAGGGGCCGGGGTGCTTCGAGCCGGTGCGCTTCAGGTGGAGGTGCACGAGCTTGCCTTCCTTGATCGATTTCGTGGCCGCGCATTGTCGGATGAGGGCGGCGATGATGCTGGGGCTGACGGAGAATCCCTGGCGGGATGCGAGAGGCAATGCGTCGACGGCTTCACGGAGGTGGCCGCGCGAGGTGAGTTGCAGAATATTTTGGATGACGCAAGGATTTGTTCGGAGTTTTTTGGGGGTCATAGCAGAGAGGGCAGCATGTGGGCTCCGGCGAGCATCGCCGCCCCGAGAGTGGTGGTTGCGTGGTGGTCAGCGTCTATTTGGGGTTAGAATTTGGCGAATTTACAAGTTGTTATTATTATTTTTTTTTTCTCCAAACCTATGTGTTAATTTGGTACCCGTAATTTTACTTTTCCTCTGAAAATTTTAGTGATATTTTTTACATTTTTTTTTTCAAATATGAGACATTTTACGATTATTAATTTTAAAATGAATTTTTGAAAATATTAATTTTAGAGGTGGAATTTTATATGAATTTTCAGTATGATATTTGTTATTGAAATATATATATATATAATTGCTAGCTAATCCCATTTAATAAAACATTTAATAAAAATATTTTCACTTTCCCTCCAAAAGAAGTTACATTTTTTTTAATTAATTACTCATTAATCTCACATTTAAGAAGGTTTTTTATAGTTAAATTTAATTAGTTAATGACTATATTAAAAAGATTTATTTTAATTAATCCCACATTTATGTTAAGTACAATATTATCTTAATATCTTATCAGTTTTTTCAAAAAAATAGTAACTTTTTTCAATAAATTTTATAAAAATTAGTCAAATGTGCTTATATTCATATAAATCAGAAAAAAAATTAAATCTTAGATATATAAAAAGAACATCGTTGAAATAACTTGAATCCGCAAGGGTAATTCTATACTTATTATCAATTACTTTAAATTTTTTGTTTATATAAAAAATTAATATTATATTTACTCATTTATATTTAGATGGTATTTTTTTTATTAAGAAGCAAAGACAATCTCTATCAATCAATAAGAGTCAAGGACAAACAATATAAAGAAGTGTTTCTTATGCTATGACATGATCAAGGCAAAATTTCAAAATTGGTCCTATAACTTGGCCACTGTCCAAAAAACCACCCCGATATTGACCAATTTCAATTTAGGTCCTATAATTTGTCGATTTCATCAATTTTGGTCCTTTCATCAGCACGCTGGATTAAAAAGTGACGTGGCATGACGTGTCAGTTTTTTAATTTTACATGGCGTGGTTATGATCTACGTGGCACGTCAATTTTGGTCCTATAATTTGTCGATTTCATCAATTTTGGTCCTTTTTTCATGCCACGTCACTTTTTAATCCAGGGTGCGGATAAAAAAGGACCAAAATTGATGAAATTGACAAATTATATGATCTAAATTGAAAGTGGTCAATATCGGGGTGGTTTTTTGGACAGTGGCTAAATTGTAGGACCAATTTTGAATTTTTGCCCATGATCAATAAGAGCCAAAGACAGTCTCTGTCGCACGTCGGCTTACTACTGAAGAGCTCTGCATTTAGTCATGAGCAATTATACGTGGCGCTTTTTAGAGTTACGAGTCAGTGGGGTTTGAAGATTTTGATTTGAGCTGAGGGAGATTTTGACGATAGAAAAACAACGACGTTGTTTTATAAAGAATTGTTTAAGAATATTTATATTTTTTTTTCTTAATTTTTTTCAATGAATTTGTTATGATTTTTATTATTGTTTATAATTTTTATTATTTTTTCATGTATCATATAATTTTCCGTGCAAATGCACGGGACAAAAACTAGTCTTAGTAAATCTTACAAATTTTCAGAAAAATACAACTAATAAATAAATTGAACAATTCATCATGTTTTAAGATTTTTGAAATTCCAAATGAATACTTAATAACTTTTAGCAATTGTATATAAGTTTACCTTTGACTGGTTGGATAATTTTTTTTATAATATTTTAACTTTAAATTCAATTTAATTTTAATCTAACTTAACTTTCATTAATATTACTATAATTAAATAGTATCAATTAATTATTAAATTTAAATAATAACATAAATTTTTAAAAAGTTATTTAAAACTTTAACATAATTTATTTATTTTAAAATTAAGTATAATTATTTTTAACACTTGTGCGTTTTGTATCTGGGCTTATACAAAATCTTGAACCCAGTTAGTAATTGGACTTTGGCCATCTGATGCCCAACAATAAATTCGTGGTCCATCTTAAGCTTTATCTATATTTTCCGATGAAGGCATGGGGGACAGAAAAATTAGCACACAACTACATACGATTCGATACATATTCTGGTAAGTTCATATCTTTTGCATTGTGAACTTTAATTTATTGTGAATTTATACTATTTGCTGCACAATTTTGCTGTAATTGTGATGAACATTTAGTTTCGATCTGTTCTTTTTAACTTGTTCGTTTGATTAATATGTTGCATACGTTGATAAGGGGATATTTTTTTGTTTTTTCGATTATAGAACGGAAAAAGAAAAGATCCAATTTTTAAGTGTTTGCAGACTCTCCCCAAAGCAAACAGAAAAGACCCTCCTTTTTATATGTGTTGATTGTTTGGTTTATATTCCTCTTTCCTGCTGCACAATATTCTGGTAAGTTCATATCTTTTGCATTGTTAACAAACGCTGTCCAATTTATTGTGAAATTTATACTTTGATTTCTGCTGCACAATTTCGCTTTAACTGTGAGGAACTTTTAGTTTCGAACAGTGCCTTTTCACTTGTTCGTTTGATTAATTAGTTATATTTGCAAGTGAAAGGATTTCAAGCTAATATGTCGCTTGTGAAGCATATAAGCTCCTGTGTTCTAATATGCTGCATACCTTGAT